AACTATTCCAATTCAAAGCGTGAGAACTGGGGATGCTCTACTCGTTCTGTTTCTGATTTCATGGAAAATCAAGTTTTTCAAATTCACCCACAAACCCTCTACATGAACTTGCTTTCTTCCAAAGTAAAACCCTTTTGCTGCTTCAGTCCCTCCTTAAAGCTCTTACCTTTTTGCACCCACTCACTTTCCCTAGCTTTCGACAACAACCTAATCCAAACCCCAAAACCCCCGGCAACAGCAGCAGCGGCGAGGGGAAGTGTTGCGAAGAACGCCGTTAAGATATCTGATGCTGCCGCACTGAAGGAGGGCTGGCTGGACTCTCTCTCTTGCCCTTTTCCTGACAAGTCACGTTTTGAAGAGGATACTACCAGGAGCAATGCGGGTTCCAATTGGGTCATTGGAATTGACCCGGATCTCTCCGGCGCCTTGGCCCTCTTGAAAACCGACGATTCTGGCTGCTCTGCCCAGGTAGAAATAGTCACTCCCCCCTTTTTTTTTTCTACATTCTGTGCTGAGTATATGCAGTCTCTGGTTTGCTTTATGCTTGTAGCTTAAATTGTTAAACTGTAATCCTGAAACTGGAAATGTCTTGGAAAGTTTTTATTTAGTCTGCTAGACATTACTTCTGCCACTTCTTCTTAGGTGAACATGACATTCATAAAAATTTTATCTTTTGTTCTCTCTTTAGAGGTGTTCCTGAATGGAACTCATGACTTAAAAGGTTTATACTTAATTTAGTCACTTTGGAATTCTTCAGTGGCTACATTATTCTCCTTTTTGAGTTGTATAAGTTCTTGATACATAAAACCATTCTCTGTTGATGAGGACTATATTGGTACTGTTAAATTACGTAGTGTTTTGTTTTCATCCAAGCTTACAGGTATTTGATTCACCTAACTTGCTTGTTCGGGTTGGAAAGAGAGTTCGAAAGCGTTTGGATGCAAGGTCTATTGTTCAAATGGTCCAAAGTTTGGAGGCACCAGTGGGTATATTTATGCTTCTCTCTCCCTTCCTTCCATTCTTCCCCTTAACTTTCAGCAAATATATAAAGTGAAGAGGATAAATATTTTCTACCATTGTTTTCTAGTGAATCATTGTTGCCTTTGAGAATAGATTACCACATCGCTTTTCTATCTCTGAACTGTGTCGTAGGATTGCAATGGGATGGGATTGTAATGTATTGATCTTTTCTTTCTTTAGGTACCACTGCATTTATAGAGCAATCAATCCCTTTTCCACAGGATGGGAAACAGGTTAGCTTCAATGGGAATCTTATTGTCCATTGCTCCATTGCCACGCTATGCATGCATCTTTAACATTTCTCAGTGCTTAAATTTGTATCATGTATTTTAACAGAGTTAAATAATCTTGTAAACCCTATCAAATTACGGAAACTTTAATGCTGTGGTAGGAGCTGCTTTTCCTAGTGGGATTCTAGGGAACTATAGGTTCAACTTTTCATTTTTGCTGCTTGTTCTTCAATTTATCAGCACCTATGGCAACATGATAAGTTGATAGCTCTATTTCTCCAAGCCCATCAAACTGTAGAATTGTTAACTCTGCAAGTTTGAAATAATTGATTATCAATTACCGCAAAAAAAATCCCTAAAATAGGCAAGCAGGTAGCAAACATGGAAAAGACAAGAAAGATGCCACATATTCTTTCCTTCTGTGGGTTTTTGTTGGCTGGAATATTTTTATCGTTTTGTGTTATTGACAGTATGGTTCTTGCTTATTCATATTGATATTCTTGCCAATAGGAGAAAAGGAGCCGATTAAACAGTTCTAATTTGTCATAGATTTCCTTATTTTTCAATCTAGGGTTGGTGGAGTGGAGGATTTGGGTATGGATTATGGATCGGGATACTAGTTGCCTCAGGGTTTTCTGTAGTTCCAGTGCCATCTTCGACATGGAAGAAGGAATTTGAACTCACTGGAAGCAGATGCTCAAAGGTTAGTTGTTCTTTCTATTATGATATTTTCTTCGCCTTTATCTCAAATCTACTATTTTATTTTCTTTTTGGATGGACATACTAAATTTGCATTGACAACTTATGATTGATGGGGAAAGGATACACAACAATGGTAAAGGGTAGGAATGTACGTCTGAAGGATATCAGAAAAAACTTTGTGGGGTTTTGAGTTAATTGCTTGATTGGCTCTTTACATCTTTGTTCTTGTCCCATTGATTGATGATGTTTATATGTAATACAAATTTGCTTCTGCAAAGAAGTACCAAGCAATATGACATCCTTGTATGAGCCACACTTCTTTCATGCATAACCTCTACCACCATTCCCTCTATCCAACCTTGTAACAATTAGCTATTCTGCTAAATATTCTGTTCTTTGACAGGATGACAGTCGGAGAGCTGCCTCGACACTATTTCCATCATTGTGTGACCTGTTGAAGAGGAAAATGGACCACGGTACGTGTTCCATTTCCGTTTAATATGCTATTTCATGGATAATTTTTTTCTTATTACTATTGGATTATAATTTATAATATCTTTGTACGTAGCCTACACTCTTGACCTTTTTCTGTTTTTGTTTGACTTACCCTGAACTTACTTTCTTGTTGCTTTCATGTTTTCCCTGCTACTTGCAGGAAGAGCTGAAGCTCTACTAATTGCTGCTTATGGCAATGGCATGAAGTTGGAATCCTCAGCCGCCCTGGAAGAACTGGTTCCTTAAAAGTGCAGAAGCAATTGTGGCCCTACTTTTTTACACCACATTCCACCTTTGCATTGCTGCTTTGTGACTGTTGACTATCTACTGGATTTGCTTTAGGAGTACAATTGCAAGTTAGGCGCACAAAGAAAAGCAAATGTCTGGTTGCAGTTAAGAGGACTGAATTGAAGAAACTTGTCAAATATTTCTCTCGGGGTTTATGAAAGATTGGGATGACTCATTCTTAATTGAAGATGGAAATTGTAGCCCCGAAGTCCTTTCAAAAACAAATAGCCATGTACCATGTAGGTAGGAAATTCTTTTGGAACATATGAAAAATTTATATCATCATTAATATTAGTCATTTTCTAGAGATGCATCACCATACATGTGTTGTTCCCCTTTTTCCACCGAATGGAAATCCTACAACAAACTTACAGGAAAAAAAATCTTCATAACAGGAAAAAAAAAAAGCATAAGAAACTCCACGGACCAAAAAAAAAAGTTTCCTATACGATATAATTCGTCAATTTCTGGATGGAGATTTATCCTAGGCTTATCCTGATGTGGATTTGACAATATCATGTTAACAGGTGAGGACTTCTATTGAAGGGTGATCTCAAAAATGACTCCCTCAAGATTTCCAACAACAGACCGTGTACCAACCACTTCATTTATCAGCATTCCATGCCGAGTAGCTTCAGAAATAACCATGGTGTCCATGCTGCACACAGAAACCAAAATAAAAACTTGTTTACCGAAAAAAAAATAAATACTGCAAACAGAAAACACATACTGGTTTTGACATGGCAGTAGTTCAACAAAATGTCATAGATAAAAAATAATTATAAAAACTATTACTATTATCCAAAAATTGTAACTTCTAGTGGCACGGCATTGTTGAAATACATGTTAAAGAATGCTAAGTTATGAGGCTTATAGTTCACAAATCATTAGATTCTACTTTAAAATTTTTCAATACTAGATGAGTGCAACAAAGTTTCAATTCTAAAGAGTTGATAAGTGCATAAACAATCCTGAAAGCAGACAGAATATCTTTGAAATTTATAACCATTCGCAGTTAAACAACTGCAATTGATGACATTTGACTCACTCCCCTCCAGGAACTTTCCTTTAACAAAGAAACTTATGATAAATGTTCGGAATCATACATTGTTATCATTCTAGTTTCCTCAAAACACACACATTGCAGTTGGAATTTTTAAGGGAAAATTGATTTAAAGACAACTTACATCTTAGCTCGAGATACATAGGCCAATATAAATTTGCACTGCCCTCTCCCCTTAATGCTCAGGAGCTGTTGCACGGTATCAAAAAGCAGAGGAATGCTAGATTGCTGGAAGCGTATGCATTGTCAAGGGAATTTTTTTCACTTCAGGTCTTCAAGAGCAACAAGCAAGTAATGCATGGACAAAGACAGTAATGAGGTGCTACTTCTTTTTAGTTACCATTTTTTCATAACATTTATCTATGGAAGTGAAGAAATATGAGAACCAAACACCCAAGAAATTGATGGCTTGATAAAATTAATTAAATCTTACAACAAAAATCAACTTTGATTCAATAGTAAAAAAATGTGGAATCCATAAAATACCACAAAACTTACTAATTCCAGGATTCAAGTAGTAGTTATAGTGTTTTATGCAGAACATTAGCTCATAGTTTTTGCATTGTGTTATCACTAGCTTAATTTACATTTATTAAATTTTAGGCGTACTCCTTGAAAAGGGATGGTAATGCTTGAAGCCATGAATAAACCCACATAGATAATGCACTATCAATGCTAATTATGGACCAAGATTCAGGATATATATGTCAGCTCCAAGAACCATATCAAAACCTCCAGAACGTTTGCACAATATTTTGTTGATCTGATCTGAGTTTCCCCATTCTAACTTCTCAGCTTTCAGTCCTTCACGTGAAAAAAGAGAGGGCATCAGCTAATATAGAAAGCTACAGTGCAAATTAAATCAATTTCTCTCACCAGCACAACTAGGGTTTATAGAAGAAGAATGCAGCTCAATATTTCTCTTCAGGATCTGAAAATGAATGTACAACATGACAATTAGATATTAATACCTATCAAATTTCAAGAACTGAAATTTAATCTCATAACCTTGCCTTCAGCACTTCATCATTATGATCAGTTAAAACAACTTCATGACAAAATCTGCTGCAGAGTATTCCAGTTATACCTATGTGAAAGGGGGCAGCAAACAGGTTGTGCAACCAGAAAAAAGAAAATAAAGAATTATAATTTAAACTGCATAACAAATAGAGCATCAAGTGATTTACACATGCTTGAAACAAGTAAAAGAGCAGAAAGCACTCTGATTTCCATATGCTTTGAAACAAGTAACAAATAGAACATCAATGCGCACAATAGAACTTCCCCTGAGCATCCAGGAGTAAGACTGTGTTAAGCCATGAATTACCTACACCAGATCCTAATTCAATAACAGAACATCCCTGGAGCATCTCGGCATTTTGGGAGAGGTAATTGTTCAAGAGCATTGCACCAGGCCATACCAATTGCCCTGTCAAATCAAAATCAGCTGTTTCCCAAATAGTTAGTTGACAATTTTCCTTCAATTCAGCAATGAAAGAATAACTAAGACAACAAACAATATCAAAAATTTATTAGATCCAAAAGTAAAAAATACTTATTACCACATACATAAAGTAGTGCCAATAGCCTTTAACCTGTTACTAGTCACACCAAAGAGGGATTACCCATTTACATTTCCTACTATTAAAGTGCCAAAAAAATATAATCACGAATGAATGATAAACCATCCATATTTCAAGATGAATAATGCTAAATGGAATTAAACACATCACAAATCCAGTAAAACTTTTTAAGAAAAAAGCCATGATCAGCTCAATTAGGCATACAATTTGCAGGACTACTGATTACAAGAAATGGGTTATCTCTAAAAACGACTGAGGAAGAAAAAGATGCACATACTGGAAGCAGATTGGAGGCAGAAGAGCTGAAGTTCATGAGACCCAAATGTGAATGTAGTGAGCTGGTAACTGCAAAATTTGAACTCTCACATGTCAGTTAATCAAAAGAGAGAGAAAGGTAACATCTTTAGAGATGTTAAGAGAAAGGGTGTATGTCTTTACTCGTCATTGATGAAGAAAGATTCGTCCAAGCAAACCATTTCTTCCTCTTCTTCCACCGCCATTTTCAGGGTTTTCCTCCACTTGTTCTCGTAGAACACACAAAGGTTTGATATAATTGTAAGAGGCCGAAGGCCTAAGGGCTGGTGGGTTGGGCTT